GTATATAAGAAAGAAGACAAGAATAGAAAGACAGAAAAAGTGTGTCCGCGTTTTGGGTAATTTATTAGATTAGCCTTTGTAAGGAGGCTTTGGCCTTTCAGGCATTTGATTCGAAGAATTATTCGGAAGTTATTCTGATAAATTATCTCATTAGTTATTTAATTTACTGTTACCAGTGTATTTATATTTTGTGTATTACTGGTTGGAAGATTATATATTTTATATTAATTATAGTTAATATTGTCTTAAAACACCATTTGCTTATTAAATCCCTTGTCTTAATTGAAACTGATAATATAAGAGAATTATTCGATTGTTTGAAAACTCTTACACTACATAGTCATACACTTTAAAATTAAATGAGGCAATTTCATTATTTAGATCAATTGATTGTGTTTTATTGTTTTATTATTTATATAGAAAAGACAGATAATGGACGAATTCATGAATTCATCTCAAAGTGGACACGTAGGATGGATATAGCGGGATGGAATTGGAAATATAGTTACAGAAAACGGAAACATTACATGTATTTCTGAAAGTATGAAAATTATTATCACATCATAAATAACTGTGATATACATATTGGGTTGGCAAATAAGTTCGTTCGGTTTTTTTGACTGGTATAAAATACAATTTATTTAATATACAAAATATATACTAATCAATAATGTATTGACCATTCTTTTCTATGACTTCTTGCCATCTTTTTACCAATTTCATAATCCCACATTCATAAAACGTCTGAGGTTTACCGGCAAAAAACTGATCCAGTTGCGTTTTAACAGCTTCATTATTAGCAAAGTTTTTCCCGTTCAGAGAATTTTGCAGCGACCGGAACAAATGATAATCAGAGGGTGCCAGGTCCGGTGAATAAGGAGGGTGAGGTAAAACATCCCAGCCAAGCCTTAACAATTTGTTCCGAGTAGTTAATGAAGTATGGGGTCTGGCATTGTCGTGGTGGAAGACGACTCCTTTTCGATTTGCCAATTCTGGACGTTTTGAACGTATTGCTTGATTCAATTTCGTTAATTGGGAGCAATATACAGTTGAATCGATCGTCCTG